TTCAGATCGCAGTGGTGAGGCTCGTGGCTGCACCCAGCACTGCCAGGGCTCCGGCACTCAGGACTGACCTCCCCAGCATGTCCCACTCGGGACTGGGTTTCCCCAAGAAAAAAGCTGGGGGTCACAGGGGGTTTTATCCAGCGTAATACCACCTGCATCCAAGATCTCAAGGAACTTCAACCCCATCTGTTCCATGCAGACAGGCACCACGTGGTACTGTGTAGCTCCTGGGACTCTTAATAGTAATTTAAAATCGGTTCTACTCAAATCTCGGTGGTAAGGGTCTAGTGAAAGCCGTCTGCCGGGATCTGGAGCAAGGCACCTACTGGGACAGCTCTGACATGGCTGCAAATACTCCTGAAAGGAAAGAGACCTGGCTCTCCTGAGGGCTGATACCTCTGGAGCCTCCTGCTTTCCCTACTACTCTCTGAGTTCGTACATATAAAACCTTTATGTTCCCATCAAAGCTACTCCTGGATTTATGCTTATGGGAAAAGTGCATGGAATATGTTGTGGGAACTAAAGATTTCAAAAGGCAATTTGAAAAGCAGTCCAGGAGGCAATCTGCTTCCAGGTACTGCTGCCGCTTGTTCTCCCTGCTGCACAGGACTTGCCGCACCTGCAGCACAGGCTGTTTGTTCCAGCCTGGGTTTGAATGCTCTTTTCATTTGTAAGCTGCATTATTTACCAGTCTGACATGCAGCTAATTTAAAAACAAGATTTATCAGCAAAAAAGTAGTGCTTGCTATGGTGGCTTCCAACAAGCACAGTAGAGTGTTTCGCTGGGCTCGTGCTGAATCTGCAGATTCCTGCCCAATCCATCACCAAAGGGCGCTGGCAGCAGAGCCCTGGCCCCACAGCCTGCTGGGACTCGGCACGTCTCAGCCCCGCTCGCAGTGTCACCGGGACACGGCCCACGTTGGACTTCGGATTTCAACAAGCCAAGCAGAAGGAGGCTCACACCAAGGGAACGACCTTCATGGCATCGCAGCGAGTTCAGTGCCAGTGAAGAGCCTGGATCACGCAACCAAATCCTTTTTGGGCAGCCGGAGGATGAGCCCAAGGGACCGTCAGCCCGTCCTGCTCCACGGTGCCCACGAAGCAGGGGAACAGCTTGCAACACACATGAGGGGCAGCAGCAGGTCCTGGGGCTCCTGCAGAGGGTCCTGCGGTGCAGCATGGGGGCTGCGAGGGGTGCCAGCCCCATGCCCACCGCCGTCAGGTCTCTGTGAGGCTGCCTCAGAGGGAGGCCGAGGGAACGGATGAGCATTCATCACGCCATTACCTGACAATGGAGGGTATTAAATGTGCATAGGAAGGTACAGGTGCTTCCTGCAAAGCCTCCATCCCGGTGGTACACCCCGCCTGCTGCACCCCCCTGCCCTGTGCCTGGACCCCCTGGCTCTCCGAGCTGCCACTTCCCACGCCCGGGAGCTGGGTCTGTCCTGCTCCTCCGGCCAGCCAGCCCTGCGGTAGCCGAGCAGCGCCCTGTCTTTTGTATGGTGCTTTGTGGGTAGAAACAGCTCCCTCCAGCTGAACAAAGCCGGAGGAACCGTTCTGGTGCCAAGGAATTTTTAGCAAGCCGTGGGAAGCGTCAGTCGCTTTGCAAAGGTGCGACTGTTCATAGAGCAAAGCGTAACTGGAGCTCATCGACAGATCAAGATCCACCCTGGAAACGGGATACCAGCTCTCAGAGGACCAGTGTTCTCTCCCCGCGTGTTCCCTTCCCAGCCAGTACCCCCCACCCAACCCCTCCGCCTCCAGCTACCAAGACCAGTTACCCCATGGGCTATTAACCAGCACTACTTTTGGGCAGGAGCAAACCACAGCTTGGCTAAGACCCTCTGAACGCAGCGGCAGAGCCACAGGCACGCAGGCCAGGGACAGCCGTGTCTGGCTCAAAAATCACCGAGGGGCTCATTGCCCCTTCCATCACACCTGCGCCTTCACTCACCGACACGTGCGCACGCATGCGCGCTGCTCCTGCCATCGCTGCCCCTCCTCTGCAGCCGGGAGCTGGAACATGCTGTAAACACAGATAAATATTTAATATTCAGAGAGAGGTTTTGCGATGACCTAGATTTCTTTCCCCCAGACACCCCGCTGGGACCCAAGGGGATTGCTTGGGGCAGGAACACGGCCACTGACATGCACGACCCCCCGGCTGCTCATACCAGCCCCCAGCCCAAATAAGCCAGGACAGCACATCTTCCCTGCCTGGTGCCCGCTCCTCTCAGGGCTCCTGTTTGAGCCAAAGTCAACACACGTCTGCAGGTGCCACGCTCCTGATCTGCGACAGGAGCGAGCACAGAGGCAGGAGGCAGATGCCCCACTCCCCTCCGATGCACAGGAGGAGCAGCCGGGATGCTCCAGGCAGGATCAGCCCCTTTCCCGTGGCAGGGAGCTCCCCCGGGAGAGGTGTCCATCGAGAGCATCCCGGCCTCAGCACCCGCCTTGCCCCAGCAGTCCTTGGCTCTTCCCCCCACCTGCCCAGGCCAGGGGTGGGCTGACCTCCCCGGGAGCACTTGCCGGCACTGCGGCACCAGCAGGGCCAAGGGTGCTGGTCTCCTGCTCCCGCTCCGGCACGCAGTGGAGTTGTGTCCTCCAAAGGCAGTGCTGCCTTATCAATAATAAAAGGCAATTTCCCCAGACAGGCCCAGGAGATTACGCATCCCTTAGCGCTCCTCATCTGCTGCTGACAGGATGGGAAGAACTTTAATAAGATGTGATTTGACAGTAACGCAAAACAACAACAGCATTAAGGGAAGAATAATGGCAAAGGCAGCTGTCAAAAACCTCATGTTCTCTAACCAGGAGAAAGAAATCAAAGCTGTCAGGTCCCAGCAGAGGAGCGAAGGGCAGCCGAAAGGGAGGGCAGGACCGCAGCGGGCAGCCAGGTACCACTGCCCATGGGGGGACCCAGCCACCAAGGGAGCTAATCTCCGGGCTGGGGGGACAGGGAGGACAAGAGAACCCACCGCGGCACCAACCCAACGGAGACCCTGGCATCACCATGGCCAGCTCAGCAACGCGCCGGCTCCATGGCCACAGAGCCCGGGGAGGGAGAAGCACCGTCGCGCACCAGGAGCGGGGCAGGCAAGTAACGCTGCACATCCATCACGGGGGCAGCAGGACCCGGTGCCGCGTGCCCACCGGTCTGCACCGCGCACAGAGGAGCTGCGCACCGCGGCCCCGCGTGCCGTGGCCGCTGCAGGGGCTGGGCCCTGCCGCCCAGGCTGGCTGCAGAGGGGGATGGAGACGGGCCAGACGCTTTTGTGTCAGTCTCTACGAAAACGAGCCAGAGGACATCTGATGGCGTTGAAAGACAGAGATGAGAGGTATCCAGAGGAGTCGGCTCCACCAGGTTGTGCCAGCTCAACGACCCGAGGTCTGCAGCCCAGGAGCTCACAGCAAGGACTCAGGCACAGGGCAGCGGTCCTGGGGGAACCCACAGGAGAGGGGGGAACCTCCAACCCCGTGGGGACGGCACAGCCGGCACCGGGGGAAGAGGGGACATGTCTCGGCAGGCAGCGCCGGCGGCCCCCAGACCTCAGCGCGGCCACGAGAGCCAAGCGGGATGCAGCAATGATTCCTGGTGTTGGGCGGGCAGTTTCCAGAGCCCCCTGTCCTCCCGGACCGTGGCAGATATAGGTCACCGCTAATAACGCCGCACGGCTCAAGCCACTGAGACCTGCCCAGGTTAGGCTGGCAGGGAGATCTTCCCTTTAACGAGGTCACTGGATTTACGGACGCTCGCATGTCCCCACATGTCATTTGAGCCCATGCTCAGGAATTCAAGTTTGCTCACAAAAGTTCAAATCCCACTAATGCCGCCGCTGGGGAGAAACCTGCTCAGTGCAGCCAAAGCTCCCAGCTCCTCACCAGAGAGGAGCCGATCGGCACCGCTGCTGTCCATGGGAACGTCAGCCCATGGGCATCATCCGCACAGAGCACGGCCTGGCTCAGGCCAGATGAGATCTCATTAATGTCTATTATGCCTCAATACTTAAAAAATGAGGGTAAGAAAGAGAAAGGCCCCAGCGAAGACCAGATCCCCTTTTGAATACGGGCTGCGTTTTATGAACCACATTAACACAAGAAACACAGAAACACGACTCTGAGCCCCTGGATAAGGGCCTGCCCATGAAAAGGCAGCGCTGCCAGAGCGTTTCCGTGCACTATTGACCTCCGTGGAGTGAAGGATTCCCAGCAACCAGCTTCTGTGCTAGAAATGATTCCCTCCCCACCCCCTTGCAAGGACCCTCGCCTCCAGACAGGGCGTCCCTGAGCCTCGCAAAGGACATCAGGGCAGTCAGCGTTGGCCAAGGCAGCCAGGCAGCAGTCGGGATGAGGGTCCGACTGACGGCGGGACGGGTGGTGCTGCCCTGCGGCGTGGGGGGGCTGCAGGCAGACAGCTCAGTGCGAGGTTCTGGGGGATGCTGCATGAAGCCTGTAATACCCTGTAACACCTCCTCACCAGGGAAGGCATCATGAAGGCATGCAGGAACAACACGTCCTGCTGTCTGTCTGAGGTTCCCCTCCCCATCCCTGCTGCGCTGATGCATGCGGGATGGTGCACGCACCGTGCAAACAACCGTGCAAAACCCCTGTCCCCCCTGGAGCCGGGCCCCTGCAGAGATGATGCTGTTCTGCAGGACGGACGAATGCTCTTCTCTTGCAGGCTGGATGCTCCTGCTTCCTCCAGCTGCAGGCCCTCAGTTTAGCATAAGTCACTGCAGGGCCGTGACACTCATTACACAACCTGCTCATTAATATTGCAGCAGCAGACAGGGTAAGGCTTTGGGCAGCCAGACTGGCCCAGGCGGGTGCCGCATTTTGGGAGCAGCGGAGGGAAAACCTCTCCGTACAACCACTGGCGCAGCCCCAGCCTGAACACCGCAAGGGAACCGCAGACCTCTGTGGCTGATGCTGCTCCTGTAGGTAACAACAATGTAAGGAGGAAAAACACCAGGCAGAAAAGTGACTTGAGAGCCCCTCACCATCCAAAGCACTGTCCCGAGGATGAACAGCCCAGATGGGGACGCTGGGGCTCTGGCCGGCAGAGCTCATCACGTTGTATGGTAGCAGAGGCTCTGCCGAAAACTTCTCCAGATCCAGCTGTGTCGGAGCATCCAAGGGCAGGGAGGGCCTGCACCTGCCCATGCTACCCAGACCCCTAGAGCTGCTGCCAGTCCAAAAGCCAGTCAATAAAAATCAGTGAAGGGTTTGATAATGTGTATGCCTGCAAAGACAAACAAACAGGGCTTAATGAAACCTTTATTTTAAAAATATGTTTTTTAATTTAAATGCAAATTGGATGCTGTGTTATCTGTAGGTCACTTGCACTGACACACTGCTTAATTAGCAGGGCTGAGTCTCAGGAAGCAAAGGCAGCTAATGGCTAGCCCTTTCCTGTGCATTTGTTTTAAGTTAATTAAAATTTTTCAGAAAGAGATCTGTCCTGCTCTGCAGCTCCTCACTCTGTTCAGCCAGTCCTTTCCTAAGCCAAGCATGCTGCCAGGGACGCTCTCAGCAGGCTATTAGCTATTAATCGAGTAGGCCACATTTATTTCTGCATCCTGAAATCCCCTTTGGCGAGTCACAAATCACAGCCCACTGTTCGATAGATGCGCCTGCAACATCCAGCGTCAGGCAAAACGGTATCAACAATAAATCTGAGCAAGGACGTGAGAGATTTTTCTAAACGCTGGGGTGAATTACGTATATAAGTCTTCAGAAGAGACATTAAACCTAATGTGAAATTGAACCTTCAAAGTGATGAGCGGAGCAGTTATCCTGTGTTACACGCGAGTTATGTGCAAAAGGATCTCATTTAGAGAAAATCTGCCTTTGCCAAGAGAGATGAGCTGGAATCAAGAGCGCGGAGCCGTGATCCATGCGTCAGGGCTCCAGGGACAGAGCTTTAACCCTTCCCTTGGCCCAGCTCTGCCCCATGCCGCTGCTTCCCACAGAACCCCCAGCCCGGGCACGGAGCGGGGCCCCCGCCAGCTGCACAAAGCTGCTGGTTGCTGAACCGCACCTCGCACGAGTGGGCCGCCTGGACTCGTGCTCATGCGGGGGGAGACGTCCCCAGGGCAGCCTGAGCCACGAGACCGGGCGGTGGGAGCAGCGAGGGGTCGGCACCGGCTCGGTGGCTGCGGTGCTGCTCGTGGGCGCTGAACAGGAGCGGCCCCTGGTCCGGTGCAGCACCAGGATCCCGCTCTGGGACGCGGCTTCTTCCCGAGGGGGTGGGAAGGCTCTCCCACCCCCGCTCTGCCGGGAACAGATTGCGGTGTGCTTCCCCTCTGCAGGATGAAGCAGCTGTCAGCTTGCAAGATAAACCCTGATATGAAACATTATCAGCAGACAGTGGAAGCAGAGCAGGAGTGACCCTGCAGCAGCGGCAGCTCCCCCCAGCACACGGCCAAGCGCAGCAGCCATCAGGGCCTGTCAATAAGCGCTCACAGTTTAATCAGCGTGTGTCCCTCCACAGAGCAAATCGATAGCATCTCATTGGGAGAAAATGAGATAAACAGAAGCCTTAATAGCGCTCCATTTCCCTGCAAATGGGAACCCCAATCTGGACCTGCCTCCCAGGCGCAGGAAAAAAAGGCCCTTGATTAAAGGGCATGCTCCGAGGTTGCCCCTTCTCTGCCATGCTGGATTTCATCCCATTTCCCATCCTGACTGGCTCGGTGCAGCGAGGACGAGCAGACCCAGAGAGCTGGGTGAGACGCGGGAAGGAAAAGAAGGCGGCAGCCACGTCGGGTGGTGGGAGCCCAGGGCCCGGCTTTGCCTGGCGCATGCTGGGTCTCCGGGAGGCTGCTCCTCTCCTCCCTCGGTATCCATAACCGGGAGGGTACGGGCTCACCTGCTCTCCTAAAGGGTGTTGGAAACCTCATCTCCAACACGCAGGCAGATGCACAAAAGGTGCCAACAACTGTCTTCGCTCACCTGGGGATCCACAGGCAAGCGGTCATGGCCCATTCGCATGCTCAACGCTGCCCGCGCTGACAGACACCCATGCACGGTCCGTGCCGCCAGGGCCTGGCACTCCCACGCTGCCAACGTCTGGCTGCAGGCACCTGCCTGCTTTCCGCGGTGAGGTAACCCGGCTCCCTGCCGCTGGTTTTCCCAGTTAGCTACCTCAGGGCAAAAGCCATAAAAATCAGGATTTAGAGTTTATGTGTTCCCTATACCCTTGTCTGCCTATGAATGCCTAGCGTCATTCTGAAAAAGGGTCCTGTGTCTCTTCCAGCTTCCTATGTGTGGGGAACAGCAGCCCAGAGCTCAGGGAGAGCTCCCGGCACAGGCGACAGCCGCAGCTGCCTCGGCACCAAAGCCTGCCCTGCCAAAGCCCTGCCAAGGCTGGGGCTCCCACAGACCGAAGGACTGTCTTCTCTTTCCATCTCAGCTATTTGCTTATTCTCTTGTTAAGCACATACCCTGAAGGACCTGAAACACTGGGCTAGATCTGGCAGAAGAGGAGGTGACCTTTCCAGGCGGGAGCCTGGAGGGACCCCAGGGACAGATGGGGCTGCTCCTGGAGGGGGAACACGTCATCAGGGCTGCAGCAGCACCCTGCCCGCCACGCTGCGTCACTGAAGCTGTCACACCGACGTGCCCATCAGCTCTGGTGCTCCGCGTTGCCCAGGCTCTCACACTGCATGCGGGGACATGCGTGGGGCAGGTGCTCACGGCCCTGACCAGAGCCTGGAGACTCATCTGAAGGGGCCATAAACTCCTGCGGGAAGGGAGAACAGGAGAATGTGGCAGGCAGGAGGGAAGGTGACTTAATGAAGTATCCAGTATTTTAAACCACTGAAGGATTAAAGCAAGGAAGGGATAGGATCTTCCACAAAAACTCAGTCATTAGTGAAGCCCAAGGGTAGATGCAATTGTTTTGTTTTTTTCCTCTCTTTGATGACCCAGTTCTATAATCTCATCAGCACCAGGCTTCAGTGTTAATTTTTAAATATGCTTGGGTAACTGAGAACATTAACTATTCATGATCTTATCTTCAATAGCTGTTGGTTCTCTGACACTGTGCCAGGGTTGAGATGTACATAATGAACCATAATGAACCAAGGAGAGCTGAACTTACCAGGGAAGGCAATAGCTGGTTTTTCCTGAGCATCTTGTTGAAACGATCACAGGATGGGATGGGGTTTCACAACACTCATGCTCCTGGATAAATCAAGGCTTGTAGGGCAGGCTTGTATCATTGAGGCCATCCCCCCGCAATTGCAGTGGCTTGAAAATACAAAAAGCTGGGATCTGGGGTATGCTGCGGACACTCTGTGAATGCTTCAGCTCCAGTCCCCTGGGAAACCCCAACCCAGTTTATAAATACACGGGGAGCCTCCTGAGCTGGCAGGCAACTCTGCTGGTCCCCACCCAGCCAGGTACACCCAAGGCCAGGTATCGGCACTGCAGGAATCCCTGGTTATCAGGCAGGTGAGCTGATGAATACAGAAGTCAAGAGCCTGCACACAGAGAAAGGGCAGCCCTTTGTCTCCCTTCATAGCAAGAGCTAACAGAAGTAACGACAATTGCTTACAGCCTGGCTTCACTTTTTGGATGTTTCAGCGTAGGTCCTACAGACACGACATGCTCCCCTGCGTGTGGGAGTAGAGACAGGCCACGAGGACTCGGGCAGCGCTGCCAAATGCATCGCACGTTGCCACAGAAAACCGGGAAGGGACCCAAGGTGAGGCTGCCAGCGGCTGCCCCGGCCTCTGTCGAAGAGCCGGCTCCTACAGCTGCCGGCAAGGCGGGAGCCTCTGCGCGGGCTGGCTGGTGCTCCCGGGAGCCGCATCTGGGAACACTCTCTGCCAGACTGGTCCCCTGGGCAGCCCCTGGCTGCTACGGCCGGGAGAGGAGAGCCCTGTGCCGGAGGCTGTCTTGTGCTGTGCTTCATCAACAGCAGCGCGCCAAGCTGGGTGACTAACTCCTGCATGTCAGGCTGCGTGTACACCCAGCTCTCGTGAACCTTTTCCTAGGATGCAAACTTCACTTGTCAGCAGGAACAGAGGATGAGGCAGCTACAGGAGCTTGGGTTAACCTGGGAAAGGCTACACAGTGCTGAGAGCTGTGAACAGGTAAAATGGTGAAGCATACAAAACGGAGCACAGAAGAGCAAAGGTGATTAATTAGCAGAACATGAACCAGCACAAGAATACAGCAATAGAAACAGAGTAAGTTATTCAAAGGAATAAAAAACTTACGCTGGCTTTTAGGAGGGATGGTAGCTGGTAGGGTTGGAAGCACGCACCCCTCCCCTCCTGCAGCAGGTATGAAGGGGCACGCTCTCACCAACTCATTTATGCTGACAGTTTGTTGCCAGAAAGAAAATCTCTTTGGTACTTCAAAGGATCTGAATAGGAGGAGGACAGAGTTGGGAGCACAGTGATCTGCAAGTCTCCTGGCCCAAAGTCAATAGCACCATGGGAGAAGTACCCACACATTTTCAGAAGAGTGTACAGGGTGTTTCCTACTGGAAAACTGAAATAAGAATCACAGTATCAGAGAATGGTTGAGGTTGGAAGGGACCTCTGGAGGTCACCTCATCCAACCCTCTGCTCAAGCAGGGACACCTGAAGCCAGCTGCCCAGGAGCATGTCCAGATAGCAAAGTTTACTGTATTTTTTTCCCTACAAAAATTAAATATCATAGAACAAAAATGAATTATTTAATCTGCAAACTAACAAAGTTACACTGGATGCTCAATGTATATAGCATTTTATTGAATGAAGGTATATTACAATAGACAAACATATATTACACATGCTATACAAAATATACATTCTTATGTGAGAAAAATATAAATAGACACTAGGAAATAGCAATAGGGAACAAGAGCAGTTTTGCTCACACTGTCTTATGAACCCCCGGTTCCTGTACTGTTAGTACTTTGGCATTGATTGAAGAAACTATTTGTGTTTACTGAAAGCAGAATGGCCACTCTGTCCTATCTGCACCTCCTGGAGGAAAGGGGAAAGAAGAGAGACCTGATTTTTTCTGCAAGTCTACCTAGGAAGTTTTTCCACAATGCTAAGCACAGCAAGGTGTTCACCTACTTACAAGCTTCAGCTATTTACAACCAGCTTATGGACTTTAAAGAGATACCATTGCTCATGGAAGGATGCAAATGTCCTAATTCA